TACCCTCTGAGGTATCTTGTAATTAACATATTATAAGAGCATAACTCCCCTCTCATGTTACTAGTAATTAACATATTATAACAGTATAACTACCCTCTGAGGTAACTAGTAATTAAGATATGATAACAGTATAACTACCCTCTGAGGTAACTAGTATTTAACATATTTTAACAGTCTAACTACCCTCTCATGTTACTAGTTATTTACATATTATAACAGTATAACTACCCTCTGAGGTAACTAGTAATTAACATATTATAACAGTATAACTACCCTCTGAGGTAACTTGTAATTAACATATTATAAGAGCATAACTACCCTCTCATGTTACTAGTAATTAACATATTATAACAGTATAACTACCCTCTGAGGTAACTAGTAATTAACATATTATAACAGCATAACTACCCTCTCATGTAACTAGTAATTAACATATTATAACAGTATAACTACCCTCTGAGGTAACTAGTAATTAACATATTATAACAGTATAACTACCCTCTGAGGTAACTAGTAATTAACATATTATAACAGTATAACTACCCTCTGAGGTAACTAGTAATTAACATATTATAACAGTATAACTACCCTCTGAGGTAACTAGTAATTAACATATTATAACAGTATAACTACCCTCTGAGGTAACTAGTAATTAACATATTATAACAGTATAACTACCCTCTGAGGTAACTAGTAATTAACATATTATAACAGTATAACTACCCTCTGAGGTAACTAGTAATTAACATATTATAACAGTATAACTACCCTCTGAGGTAACTAGTAATTAACATATTATAACAGTATAACTACCCTCTGAGGTAACTAGTAATTAACATATTATAACAGTATAACTACCCTCTGAGGTAACTAGTAATTAACATATTATAACAGTCTAACTACCCTCTGAGGTAACTAGTAATTAACATATTATAACAGTATAACTACCCTCTGAGGTTACTAGTAATTAACATATTATAACAGTCTAACTTCCCTCTGAGGTAACTAGTAATTAACATATTATAACAGTATAACTCCCCTGGTTAATTTACATGTCACAATCTAACTACCCTCTGAGGTAACTAGTAATTAACATATTATAACAGTATAACTACCCTCTGAGGTAACTAGTAATTAACATATTTTAACAGTCTAACTACCCTCTCATGTTACTAGTTATTAACATATTATAACAGTCTAACCACCCTCTCAGGTTACTAGTAATTAACATATTATAACAGTATAACTACCCTCTGAGGTAACTAGTAATTAACATATTATAACAGTATAACTACCCCTGAGGTTACTAGTAATTAATATATTATAACAGTATAACTACCCTCTCAGGTTACTAGTGATTAACATATTATAACAATATAACTACCCTCTAAGGTTACTAGTAATTAACATATTATAACAGTCTAACCACACAGGTTAATTTACATATTGTAACAGTTTAAATATCCTCCCTATTACAATAGATATAATTTCACTGTGGATATTAATGTGAAATCAGACAGAACTCGATGAGAACAGACTGTAATGGACGACTCTAGCGTTTATATAGCGTCATTGCCTGGGATGATTTTTTTGCTGTCACGAATAGACAGTTATCAATGCTCTGACGAAGGATTTACGAAGCAAAAATGATTGAGGCGATATGTATATATAATATATACATTTATTACCTGACCTTATTATCACTGTCAGTATTAGATGGTATACAAATTAATGAAGTGATCAGAGTTATCTTTCTTTGTTAGTATTGTCGGTAATGGCCCTGGCATACATACAGCAGCGATTATAATAAACCATCCTTTTTATCGATGTCAGTATCAGTATATGATATTGTATTGACCAGAGTTACCTGCCCTTGCTGTCACTGTCAGTATATGATTGTTTAAATTATAATGTTGTGATCAGAGTTACCTGCCCTTGCTGTCACTGTCAGTATATGATGGTATAAATTATAATGTAGTGATGAGAGTTACCTGCCCTTGCTGTCACTCAGTATATGATGGTATAAATTATAATGTAGTGATCAGTGTTACCTGCCCTTAGAGTCACTGTCAGTATATGATGGTATAAATTATAATGTAGTGATCAGAGTTACCTGCCCTTGCTGTCACTGTCAGTATATGATGGTATAAATATTAATGTAGTGATTAGAGTTACCTACCTTTACTATCAGTGTAGGTATTTGAGTGTAAATGATCGAGACACATTTAACTAAAAGAACAACAAACTATAAAATAAGCAGAAAACAGTGTTTATTAATAGTGACAATAACTACAATGAGAAAAAGATCACCCTTCTGAATGAACTTTAAAAAACGCCACTTTCCTCCTTCTGAATAACAGTAAAGGAAAATCTACACCAAACATTCAGGACTGTTTTGGTTGAAATATTTTGCATGGCTAAGCCTACCATCATACTTTTGTTTTATTTTATAGAACTATTCCTTTCTTATGAAGCACATAAAGTAAAACATTTCACCCTGTCATAAGTCAAACGTTATCAAAGTCATCAGCACTGTTTAAGTTGTCAACTATTTTGACAAGAAGAGACCACTCTGCCTGAGCAATGTTAACCCTTAGAGTGCTACATTAAAATAACCTACGCTAACCAATCAGTGCTGAATTAATTAGGAAAATTTAATTTTCACTGCAGTTCCAATTTAGATATAACTTCATAAGTCACAATTTTAGTAAAAATATTGCAAAAATAATACTTGTGTTCATATTAAAACATATTAATACCAATGGAAATTGGTTATTTGATATGTTTGATCAAATTTTAATCAACACGATTAGCTGTTGACCATATAAAATACTATTTTATAGAATGTGCAACTATAGTTGTGACTACCAGTGGTGGCCAGACATACAGCACAACTATAGTCTGTTGTTTTGGGAAAGTTTTTTTTATGTAAAGAAGTAGATGTTTCCTATTGAACAATTGATGCTTAGTCATGACAATTGATAATCATGAGATTGGGGACATTTTCACCACAACGTTCAATCATGTTACAATTTGTACACAACTTTACAATGAAAAAGTTCCCAATGTGTTAGCCACATGTTGGTAACATGACTACCCTACAATATCAATATAGAAAATCTAGTAAGTAATAGAGAGCCTATCAGTCTTTTCTCCTTCAGAATGGACATTATCTGACTTTTCACCTGTACATAAATCACGGTAGTACTGATGACATTAGTTGGACATACATATACATAAATAACAAATGGTCGGCCACCATGTTATGGACAATATTTACCCAACATTCAATCAATTATATTCATCAATATAAAAACATATACATTAACAGTTGGACAAGCATTTTTTTTATGAAAATGTAACTGAATTATTGGAATTTACTTTAAAACCAAATCGATCAATGTTGATTTAACAAAGATCAGACTTCAGTTCAACACTAGCATCCAGCAAATAGCCCGAGTACAGTTACAATTTGAGGCCAAATGACTAGCACAGATCATACCAGCTGTAATGACAATTTAGTTTTCCTTTTATCAAAAGAAATTATTTCTCAGTACGAGATACTAAATGATCATAGAATTAGTGTTGTTAGAAGTGCCAACTATATCAACAAAGTGCACACGCTAGTGATATTTTTGTTATAAGTGACAAATTGGACACAATTTTAAGAAACATTGTTATTTGAGACTTTTTTGAAGGACTAGTGGTGTAATTTATATCAAGAAAGAACAAGAGGCCCAAGGGGCCTTAGCGGTCACCTGAGTTATATCATAGGTACTGGTAGGTTTATTTTATTGTTTAGATGTGATGTGGAAATCAGCATGTAAACTAAGTGAAATACAATACTTGTCATGTCATCAAAGGATAAGAATTTTAAAATATTTGTAAATGTTCCCTTTGGGGCCCCGCTCTAACCCCTGGGGATAGGGCAGGAATTCAAAGTTTACAATTTGATACCGTCATCCACCAAAGATGATTCTGACCAAGTAAAAATAATTTCCAACAGAAAATTGTCAAAATATACCCAAAAGTGTTGTTTCCCTATATAAACTATAGTAAACTTTACCCCCTCCCCAAGGGAGAACGGATAGCTCGGGGGTCCTGAAATTTACAATTTAAATAAAGCCCCTGATGATCTTTCCATCCATGCAGAGAAAATGACTGTAATACCTCTGAGTCTGGAGAAGAAGATTTTTGAAATATTGGTTAATTTTCCCTTTTGGGCCCCGCCCTGGCCCCTAGGGTTGGGGTAGGAATCCCAATTTTACAATTTAAAACCATCTTCCTCCTCCAAGGATGATTCTGACCAAGTAAAAATAATTTCCAACAGAAAATTGTCAAAATATACCCAAAAGTGTTGTTTCCCTATATAAACTATAGTAAACTTTACCCCCTCCCCAAGGGAGAACGGATAGCTCGGGGGTCCTGAAATTTACAATTTAAATAAAGCCCCTGATGATCTTTCCATCCATGCAGAGAAAATGACTGTAATACCTCTGAGTCTGGAGAAGAAGATTTTTGAAATATTGGTTAATTTTCCCTTTTGGGCCCCGCCCTGGCCCCTAGGGTTGGGGTAGGAATCCCAATTTTACAATTTAAAACCATCTTCCTCCTCCAAGGATGATTCTGACCAAGTAAAAATAATTTCCAACAGAAAATTGTCAAAATATACCCAAAAGTGTTGTTTCCCTATATAAACTATAGTAAACTTTACCCCCTCCCCAAGGGAGAACGGATAGCTCGGGGGTCCTGAAATTTACAATTTAAATAAAGCCCCTGATGATCTTTCCATCCATGCAGAGAAAATAACTGTAATACCTCTGAGTATGGAGAAGAAGATTTTTGAAATATTGGTTAATTTTCCCTTTTGGGCCCCACCCTGGCCCCTAGGGTTGGGGTAGGAATCCCAATTTTACAATTTGGTAGCCTCATCTACCAAGGATGATTCTGACTAAGTTTGAAAAAATTCCATCCACTGGTTCTTGAGAAGAAGTTGATAATGTAAAAGTTTACGCACGACAGACGACGGACCACGGAATAGCGATTGGAATAGGTCACTTGAGCAAAGCTCAGGTCACCTAAAAAAGAATGTACAAAATTTTAGAAGCAAATTAAGTAAGGAGTTATTTCCCTTTAGTTGTCAATATGGTGCGTTACTTTGAGCCCGATATCAAGAGTTTACTGATGGGTAATGCTAACTCCCATTGTAATACTGCCATACACACAACAGACTGCCAAAACTGAATCAGTTACAAAAGATGACAGACAATTTAATCATGGAGTTCATTGAACTGCCATTCGTTCACATCAATTACCGGGCAAGTGTAGAGTGATAGGTTATTCTATAGATTGTTCAGAATGTGCCAGAAATGTGTGTGTCATATAAACAGTTAACTCTCTTACCCATGGAATTGCATAATGAACTATTCCAACCTTTAAATTGGCAGAGTTCAAATGTGTCTTCAGGGGTGAGTTTAAGATTCAGGAAACCCTGACAAACGTTATATACCTAGGTATGTAAATCAGTTTACTAGTTTCCACTAAAACATCAGTACAGTAGAATGCTGTCTACCAATGTTTATCACAAATACCATGTAGCAATGTTATCAATGTAAAAGTTAACAAACTCATTTATGCCAGTTTTGTATATTTTGGATGCCACAAGTAATATAGTATTATATATATGTAATAGGACGAGGAAAAGTAATAAAGATAGTGCCATCACTGGGGCTCAAACCCACAACCCTTGGCTCTCCAGCCAGATGCTCTACCGCTAAGCTAAAGGGAAATTCCCTACAGCTGACGCTGGTAAGGCAACCTAATAAATCCACATCTTATATAAATAATGCCAACAAAGTTTTCAAGACACTTCAGTTACTATAACATGCAAGTTCTTTAAAAAACAAAACAACAGTAATTAACGACAAAAACTGTTGATAACATTGGAATTTTGCAGATAAATACTTAACTGGGGACATAAATAAAGACCTAAGGACATGTGCAATTTGGCGTATTAATTATTTTTACTTGACCATGTAAGATTACTCCGTTCATACATGCGACTGGACTGAAAACACACCATCAAACAAATCAAATCTACTGGCCACATTTAAATCACATGTCCGAATGCCCCTAAGTTTTCCCGATAAAAAGCATTCCACTGTACATTTAATTGAATTGTCTCCCTTGCTAAATGAAAATTGTCTTAGACATACGTATAAAAACATTCAACCTTTCGTTGGCACAAGTAAGTTATACATTCTACATCATACATTCATAGCCTTGTAACAACATTGTCAGTTAAATACTGTATATATCCTAATAAGTACACCAGGGGCATAACAGCAGGACTTAAACAACAGCTGGAAGGGAGGGAGGGAGGGGAGCAACTCATAGATATACCAGGACACATATCTTTAACGAAGAGAATATTTAGCTCAATGTAGTAATCAAGTAAGTGGGAACAGCCAAATTATGTCCCGCTAAGGTTCACACTGTTGATTTTTACTGTTTGATTTAAACAATGCATAAAAAAACATAACAATTACAACTCTTATATTTTGTTATAGGACTTGTTTTTGGGGATAGGTGTAAGCCACAGATGTATTTAAACATGGCATGGTTATTAGGATTTATACGGTACCTGTATATTTTATTTCACTGGTGATTGAGTTATACAGTATATAGAGAACCCCACACATGTTTATATTATAAATGAAGATGAACTTTAAATGACAATTTGATATTAGTCCTGTAAATAAACTAGTGCACAAAAGTGCTCAAATATAATTACTACTAAAATATAAAAATAGACAGAGAAGCTAAGATTGCTGTTTTTGGTGATTAAAGCTTTTCACACTGACAGATTTGATTGACCTTTCCATAATTAAGCACTGCAATAAAGAATAAACTTAATTAACACAGAAAACACATAATTATCAACACATAATAAATAATCACAGCCTTTAACAAAATATAGTTACTCTCCTCCATACAAACCAAACACACCATCTAATTAAGGTAAACAAACAAATATTTGAAATTGAAATCTAGATAATGATTATATAATGTAAATTGAGGTGGAGTTTTGAAATTCAAAAATTATCTCAAAAAGATTTTAAAACCTTTTTTGGTTATAATGTAAAGTATACTTTCAAGGTTTCATGGGGTTTTTTTGGGCAGAAATTTTGCACACAAATTATGTCCTTTAATACAGGATCATCACCGGAATTACTTTTCTGTGGAAAATATATCTGCCAATAAAGTAGAAGATAGACCCACACATGAATGACAGGAAAACTAGCCAGATATCACAGAACAAAGTGGTGTTTTAGTCTCATGCCAATAACTCACACGGCAATGATCAACTCCCCAACACCAGGACTTGTCTTGTTCTATCTACGGTAAAGAGATAGACAATGTTGTCAGATGTTGTCACTCTGTTGGTCCTGGCACACAAAAGCTAGGCCTGTATTCAATTTTACAGGTTCAACAGGCTTTAGGTTGAGATTACAATATTGTATTACATGTAAAAGTAAAGGAACAAGTTAATTCTGGTGAACAGAAGATTACACATGTCGATAGGAAAGGCATTTACTAAAAACTCATGATTTTGGAAACAATGATGAATTCCCTTGATTTGATGAGGGTTACCCTGTACAGCTGTATACACATGTATTACTAGGAGCAAACACTACATAGCACTTCTATAGATTTTTTCTTAATTGACTAACTTTTATTTGAGAAAGGTTAAAATAAAGGTCTGAGTAATTTTGTTTATGTTAAAAAAAATACAGTATAAAATGGAAAAAGATTGAGACATCGTCACTTTGATGGTAACTTAATGTTTCCTGTGAGAACTATATACACTCAGTAGTGAGGGATTTCAATGAGGAATTTTCTCAACATCAACCTTCCTCCCACTCAGTGTAAGAAGTTTACCTGTAAACATTGTGAGAAACCTGTATGTGTATAACATTTATTGTGAAATATTTTAGCCGACATAATACACACATGTATTGTGGTACCTGTAGTGAGTAGACAGTGTACACACATGTATTATCATACCTGTAGAGAGGAGACAATGTACACACATGTATTATCATACCTGTAGTGAGTAGAAAATGTACACACATGTATTATCGTACCTGTAGTGAATAGACAGTGTACACACATGTATTATTGTACCTGTAGAGAGTAGACAGTGTACACACATGTATTATCGTACCTTTAGTGAGTAGACAATGTACACACATGTATTATTGTACCTGTAGTGAGTAGAGAGTGTACAAACATGTATTATTGTACCTGTAGTGAGTAGACAGTGTACGCACATGTATTATCGTACCTGTAGTGAGTAGACAATGTACATCATATTATTGATACCTGTAGTGAGTAGACAGTGTACACACATATATTATCGTACCTGTAGTGAGTAGACAGTGTACACACATGAATTATTGTACCTGTAGTGAGTAGACAATGTACAAACATGTATTATCGTACCTGTAGTGAGTAGACAGTGTGCACACATGTATTATCGTACCTGTAGTGAGTAGACAATGTACACGCATGTATTATCGTACCTGTAGTGAGTAGACAGTGAACACACATGTATTGTGTTACCTGTAGTGAGTAGACCATGTACAAACATGTATTATTGTACCTGTAGTGAGTAGACAATGTACAAACATGTATTATAGTACCTGTAGTGAGTAGACAGTGTACACACATGTATGATTGTACCTGTAGTGAGTAGACAATGTACAAACATGTATTATCGTACCTGTAGAGAGTAGACAGTGTACACACATGTATTAACGTACCTGTAGTGAGTAGACAGTGTACACACATGTATGATTGTACCTGTAGTGAGTAGACAATGTACAAACATGTATTATTGTACCTGTAGTGAGTAGACAGTGTACACACATATATTATCGTACCTGTAGTGAGTAGACAGTGTACACACATGTATGATTGTACCTGTAGTGAGTAGACAATGTACAAACATGTATTATTGTACCGGTAGTGAGTAGACAATGTACACACATGTATTATGGTACCTGTAGTGAGTAGACAGTGTACACACATATATTATCGTACCTGTAGTGAGTAGACAGTGTGCAAGTGTACACACATGTATTATCGTACCTATAGTGAGTAGACAATGTACACACATGTATTATTGTACCTGTAGTGAGTAGAGAGTGTACAAACATGTATTATTGTACCTGTAGTGAGTAGACAATGTACACACATGTATTATTGTACCTGTAGTGAGTAGAGAGTGTACAAACATGTATTATTGTACCTGTAGTGTGAGTAGACAGTGTACACACATGTATTATCATTCCTGTAGTGAGTAGACAGTGTACACACATGTATTGTGGTACCTGTAGTAAGTAGACAGTGTACACACATGTATTATCATACCTGTAGAGAGTAGACAATGTACACACATGTATTATCGTACCTGTAGTGAATAGACAGTGTACACACATGTATTATTGTACCTGTAGTGAGTAGAGAGTGTACAAACATGTATTATTGTACCTGTAGTGAGTAGACAGTGTACACACATGGATTATCGTACCTGTAGTGAGTAGACAGTGAACACACATGTATTGTGTTACCTGTAGTGAGTAGACCATGTACAAACATCTATTATTGTACCTGTAGTGAGTAGACAATGTACACACATTTATTATCGTACCTGTAGAGAGTAGACAATGTACAAACATGTATTATCGTACCTGTAGAGAGTAGACAGTGTACACACATGTATTAACGTACCTGTAGTGAGTAGACAGTGTACACACATATATTATCGTACCTGTAGTGAGTAGACAGAGAACACACATGTATTATCATACCTGTAGTGAGTAGACAATGTACACACATGTATTATGGTACCTGTAGTGAGTAGACAGTGTACACACATATATTATCGTACCTGTAGTGAGTAGACAGTGTACACACATATATTATCGTACCTGTAGTGAGTAGACAGAGAACACACATGTATTATCATACCTGTAGTGAGTAGAAAATGTACACACATGTATTATCGTACCTGTAGTGAATAGACAGTGTACACACATGTATTATTGTACCTGTAGAGAGTAGACAGTGTACACACATGTGTTATCGTACCTGTAGTGAGTAGACAGTGAACACACATGAATTGTGGTACCTGTAGTGAGTAGACCATGTACAAACATGTATTATTGTACCTGTAGTGAGTAGACAATGTACAAACATGTATTCTTGTACCTGTAGTGAGTAGACAATGTACACACATGTATTATGGTACCTGTAGTGAGTAGACAGTGTACACACATGTATGATTGTACCTGTAGTGAGTAGACAATGTACAAACATGTATTCTTGTACCTGTAGTGAGTAGACAATGTACACACATTTATTATCGTACCTGTAGAGAGTAGACAATGTACACACATGTATTATCATACCTGTAGTAAGTAGACAGTGTACACACATGTATTATCATACCTGTAGAGAGTAGACAATGTACACACATGTATTATCGTGCCTGTAGTGAGTAGACAGTGTACACACATGTATTATCGTACCTGTAGTGAGTAGACAGTGAACACACATGTATTATCATACCTGTAGTGAGTAGACAGTGAACACACATGTATTGTGGTACCTGTAGTGAGTAGACCATGTACAAACATGTATTATTGTACCTGTAGTGAGTAGACAATGTACAAACATGTATTCTTGTACCTGTAGTGAGTAGACAATGTACACACATGTATTATAATAACTGTAGGGAGTAGACAATGTACACACATGTATTATTGTACCTGTAGTGAGTAGACAGTGTGCACACATTAGACAATGTACACACATGTATTATCGTACCTGTAGTGAGTAGACAGTGTGCACACATGTATTATCGTACCTGTAGTGAGTAGACAATGTACATCATATTATTGATAGAAATAACCAATCTGGACAATATTTGGGGTTAACAGCTCAATAGTTTGGCAAACGTCCCTACCTGCGATATCTCCATAGAAAATAGTTAACCTGGCATTTATGAAAACAAAAACCAAAAAACAGAAGGCGATATAACTAGACAGTGAATTCCATTACAAGGCCAACAATGGTATCAGGGGGGATAACTTTGTGTCACTTTAAGCAGTTAGGAAGGTATGAAATGTAGAATAACCTTTTATCAATTCAATAATCTATGTTCCAATATACTTGTGTAAGGGTAAATGTGACCTGATCACCGTGAAAACTGAACCCCACTTCTTCACATGATGAAAAATCAATGCCGTTCAAAGATTAAAATAAAGAATGGAAACTAAATGTGATTTGTAATTTTTTTATCACTGTTCAACAGTAATAGTGCACACAGCTTTATCACTGTTCAACAGTAATAATGCACACAGCTTTATCACTGTTCAGCAGTAATAGTACATATAGCTTTAACACTGTTCAACAGTAATAGTACACACAGCTTTATCACTGTTCAACAGTAATAGTGCACACAGCTTTATCACTGTTCAACAGTAATAGTACATATAGCTTTAACACTGTTCAATACAAAAATCATACAAAATTCTCCAATAATTCACTACAGACATCAACAGAAATAAAACAATTCTTTAACATTGGTTGATAACATTCATAAAAAGTCTATGACATGTTTCACTTCATTTAAAGTGAATGTGGTTCATTATTATATAAAATGTTTAAAATGTTTTGTATCAAACTTATATTGTTTGTCTGTGTAGCAGACGGTCAAGTATGGCTAAACAGATTTGTGTAGCAGACGGTTATGTATGGCTTAACAGATTTGTGTAGCAGACGGTCATGTATGGCTAAACAGATTTGTGTAGCAGACGGTCATCTATGGCTAAACAGATTTGTGTAGCAGACGGTCATATATGGCTAAACAGACAGTCATATATAGCTAAATAGATTTGTGTAGCAGACAGTCATGAAATTATAAACATATTTGTGTAGCAGACGGTCATATAAGGCTAAACAGATTTGTGTAGCAGACAGTCATATAAGGCTAAACAGATTTGTGTAGCAGACAGTCATATATGGCTAAACAGATATCAGCTTTTTTTGTGTTTTCGCTTCTTTGAAGCTGTCGGGTTGAGTTTTACAATGTCTCTGTCATCATTATCACATGAGTTGACCCGCTCCGCGATCTGGCACCGACATATCGGACAAATTTCTAACTGTATGGAACATTTGTAGCAGAAACCCCTGAAACATAAAATAATCAGAGTAAATATGAATGATTTCTTTCAAAATAATGCTGTATATGAAAATATCACTTGCTGTTGAATTGCCTTGAGAGTCTGTAAGAATCTTCAAATTTAGCAGGTAACAATTGAGAAGATTTTGCACAAGAGGCTCAAAGAGGGCTGCATAATTACATACTAAAGCTTGTGTTATGAACACTGGAACAATGTAGTCCCGTAATAAAATCGTATATCTTACTTGTGGTTACAAGGTAGCAGACAATGGGTGGCTTTGTTGTCAAAACAAAGCGTGCAGGAGTCCTCTTGAACTTTCAGACTCTTTAGTAATTCTAACTTTTTATGCCTGCAAAAAAGAAATAATAACATGAATCATCATATCTCTTTGTGGTGTATCCCGTTCACCTGATTGGTGTAATTTAGTATGAATCCCTACCTCTGATTGGTTTAATTTAGTATGAATCCCTACCTCTGATTGGTTTAATTTAGTATGAACCCCTGCCTCTGATTGGTGTAATTTAGCATGAATCCCTTCCTCTGATTGGTGTAATTTAGTATGAATCACTGCCTCTGATTGGTGTAATTTAGCATGAATCCCTTCCTCTGATTGGTGTAATTTAGTATGAATCCCTGCCTCTCATTGGTGTAATTTAGTATGAATCCCTGCCCCTGATTGGTGTAATTTAGCATGAATCCCTACCTCTGATTGGTGTAATTTAGTTTGAATCCCTACCTCTGATTGGTGTAATTTTGTATGAATCCCTACCTCTGATTGGTGTAATTTAGTATGGATCCCTACCTCTGATTGGTGTAATTTAGTATGGATCCCTACCTCTGATTGGTGTAATTTAGTTTGAATCCCTACCTCTGATTGGTGTAATTTAGTATGGATCCCTACCTCTGATTGGTGTAATTTAGTATGAATCACTGCCTCTGATTGGTGTAATTTAGCATGAATCCCTACCTCTGATTGGTGTAATTTTGTATGAATCCCTACCTCTGATTGGTGTAATTTAGTATGAAGCCCTGCCTCTGATTGATGTAATTTAGTATGAATCCCTGCCTCTGATTAGTGTAATTTAGTATGAATCCCTGCCTCTGGTTGGTGTAATTTAGCATGAATCCCTACCTCTGATTGGTGTAATTTAGTATGAATCCCTGCCTCTGATTGGTGTAATTTAGTATGAATCCCTGCTTCTGATTGGTGTAATTTAGTATGAATCCCTGCCTCTTATTGGTGCAATTTAGTAATTTAAAATGAATCCTTGCCTCTGATTGGTGTAATTTAGTATAAATCCCTGCTTCTGATTGGTGAGGTTAAGTATAAATCCCTCCTTCTGATTGGTGTAATTTAGTATGAATCCCTGCCTCTGATTGGTGTAATTTAGTATGAATCCCTGCCTCTCATTGGTGTAATTTAGTATGAATCCCTTCCCTGTGCTTGGCCTAAGTTTCTTAGCATATCAGATGATGTTCTCATTATCAAGGTTGAGAAGGTGTAACATCAGTAAGTAATATATTTTAAATATTTTCAGTTATTAGACATTCATTTATGATTTTTAAAGCTGAATTAGATTTATTTTAAAGGGGCATCACGGTGAAGTAACTTTATTTTTTGTCTTTTTTTCCAAATACTACATAACCATATCAAGTGAGACTCCTTATGGAAAATACCGATCGGATTTGGCTGAAATAGATTCATAAAAATGATTAAATCTAAGAAAATCATCGGTATTTCTACCTGTCTGACCAATGTTTTGTTCAGGGATTTCCCTCTACTAGCGCATGCGCATAGCACACCATTTCTTTGTAAACAAAATGACTGGCCCTGTGAAGTAAGCGAAAGAAAAGTGTTGTACCGTGTCAGCTACGAAACGAAAAGTTGCCAAATGGTCAAAAGATAGGGCAAGAAGTACGTTACGGAATCATTATTGCAAGTGGGCAGTATTCAAAGGAGAAAATAACTGCCGTAGCAGTTAGTACAGTATGAATTCTTCCGGATAGCCGGTTAAGCTGAAATGGAATCAACAGATATGCTAGCGCTGTTTATGTTATGAATAAATATCTAAAACTATTAAGCTCGCTAGTATCGTTGTCGGAGTTTGAACACAGATGAACTTAGTTTAATATGTTAATGGACATGTATTGGAGAGAGTTTACTTTGTGTTTCTATAATTATACAGTGGTTTATGCGAAAGGAAGGGATAAGTGTCTGGTTAGTTTGATTTTGCCATGAGGCCCTCCAAGGGATAACTGTTGTGATGGCCCACGGCGTATTTTCTGGGTCACCGAGATACATGTTATGTAAGTCCGTGGATTTACATAATTTATAATATTACCAAGTTCAATAAAATGGTATGATTTAATTATATTGCTGAATTAAACGATTATTTTTGTTTTTACATGCAAGATTTAAATAAGTACTAGTATGAATACCTGGCCTCCTATGCCCCGGCAATATATAAAAAATAAATCAGAATGGTTTGTCCCTTGGTGTAGGGAAGGTGTTTAGCCCCGTACCATCTGTACCGGCCACATTCTGGTACTAAATTCAATATATATTTAAATATATCTACTTTATGTTTATGGCTATTATCATTGTTGACATTTAATTGTAAATGTATGACGGGAAAAGGCTGTGATAAATTGTAACAAGGGCCTTAGCGGTCACCTGAGTTATATCATAGGTACTGGTAGCTTTATTTTATTGTTTCGGTGTGATGTGGAAATCAGCATGTAAACTAAGTGAAATACAATACTTGTCATGTCATCAATGGATAAGAATTTTAAAATATTTGTAAATGTTCCCTTTGGGGCCCCGCTCTAACCCCTGGGGATGGGGCAGGAATTCAAAGTTTACAATGTGATACCATCATCCACCAAAGATGATTCAGACCAAGTAAAAATAATTTCCAACAAAAAATTGTCAAAATATACCCAAAAGGGTTGTTTCCCTATATAAACTATAGTAAACTTTACCCCCTCCCCAAGGGAGAACGGATAGCTCGGGGGTCCTGAAATTTACAATTTAAATAAAGCCCCTGATGATCTTTCCATCCATGCAGAGAAAATGACTGTAATAC